TACACACAGCCGACAACCCGATGACATACATTATTTTATATTTTGGTCCACCTCATGATGGCCGCGAAGTAACGGTAACGTCACTGTTTATCAGATTGTCCAGTTTGAAAGAGTCGCCAACAATTTCGTCCATAAATCCGTGACATAGCGCTGGGCCAGCATAATTTTGTCCGGATCAATATCTACAAAAATGAAATCCCAACTATTAGAAACTAATAATATAGGTACTTATTATTATATATTATAATATAATATTAAACCCATTTATACCCAATTATTCCTTTGCAGTTATTACGATTAAGTAGAAATAATATTTTCAAATAATATTACAGTCGAACAGTCTGCTACAGTCATACAGTCAGCTGTATGAAGTTTCCACTGCGCCACAAAACGGGACGAGGCCGGTCGCTGAACATGGGAAGTCCTCAAGTCCGTGTCTTGCCAAGTCCACCCAGCATCGTATTTTATTAGCTGTTGGACCGGTGGATATGCGGTTAACAATTGTCAGTTTATCACCATTTATTAACACGTGGCTCTAATACACTTTTCTCACATTCGTATAAAATGTATTAGTTATTATACATAATATTACATATTTACATGTATCACACTATATTATATTATATTGTTCTATGATATTATATATTATTTATACAAATGTAAACAAACATATATAATCCTATATTATACATGCATATTATTCATGAAAATCTAGTTTGTATAAAATAATTATAATAATATCACATTTTATGTTGTACCAATAAAAAAATATGTATGAAAACAAAAGGTTTATTTAAAATATCTATTCTATTACACCCTGTATATAGTTATTATTAGGGCTCAGATTATATATCTATTTATATAACCAAAGTATGTATTTATATACAACAAAAATATGTGCTAAAGAATTAAAAATATGTAGGTATTATCAAAAAAAAAAAAAATCAATTGCTATCGATTTTTTACAAGCAGTAGGTACAATACAAAACGTGGCCTTCACTTTGTAAAAGTTCATTTGGATATTCAGAAACATATTTTATTGCTTTGAAAGTCTTAGACGATCGTACTTTTGGCATAACCTATTGGTAATAAACATGTAAAATATAACGAAAAACGAGGCCACGAAACTCACACTACGATGTCACATTAAAAACTACACAATCATCGCAGTGTTCGCTCGTTCGTGTCCAACGTGTTTAAAAATGTGTTAATCGTAATATATTACGATAAGATATCTGATATTTCAATAAATAAAATCGTATGTAGAAATAATTGAAAATATAACAGGTTGAGTTCGACGGTCGTTTGTCACCGAGGAACCCTTATTTAGCCAAGTCAAAAATACGTCCAGTGGACCTGAACTCTGAAGAAAAGACATTAAAATTGTATAAATATGTGAAAAAATAGAATAATATTTGTGTAAATACATAATATATGTAAAAACATGTATTTATGACGAAATATGTAAAATCAAATGTAGCTCATTTTATCAAAATCTTGTGAATCGAATTTATCACTTGCCGAAATTAGTTTATCATGTCGCAGAGAAAATATGTATTTACATATAAATCCGAGCCCTAGTTATTATAGTATTACCGAGGATTTTCTGAGCTCTTGAGCCCAAAATTGTTGGTGGAAATAAACAATCATCTTCTACGTATAAGTAGGTATGCAATATATAGGTAATAAGAAAATAACCATCGTATAATCTATATTTGGATATATAGATACAAGTTCAACGAATGCATTTTCGATGTCATGTGGTGGTACGAATTGCAACCCGAAAAATAGTCTTAACCATATTTCTAACTCGTCGCAGTAAGTATAATAATATGCTGTTCTAAGTTGCTGCTCCGAATTTATCTGTAAAGTTAGGTAATACATTTAATATTATAATTTTACTATGTGTATATTTATAATATATTTTAAGCATAATCTTCAATGATTTTTTCATAATTTAAATGTTCTCGGGCTCTTTTTATAAAGAAAAGCCAGGAAGACGCTCTTGGGACGTGATACTTCTCAAATAAGTTTCTATAAGTTCTAACTTCTGCGCTAGCTGAAGTTATTAGAATAGCTAACATATTATTTATTCTAAGAGCCGCGGCTGAGTTTGGAAAAGCTGAATTGCTTTTTTTTTTATAAAATTAAGTAGGTACTTCAATAGGAGTTACCGATTTATCGAATAAGTTTTGGCAAATCAAAATTCCTTTTTTTTTGTGAGTTGTATGCGTTTTATCTATATTACGCGTGCGTCTGAGAGAGAAAACACAAATTGCGCTGACATCGTCTCTTATAGTTAGTCTTTCGAGAATTTGCAACTACAAGTATTTAATTAGGGGCCTCAAATTTGTCCATTACTTTTTAATTATAGGCTATAACACTACATAAATCACATAAAAAAATCGATGATTATTTAGCGAGGAAAAAAGCTTGTAAATTATAATTTACTAGCTGATCCAGGGCACTCCGTTGCTTGTTAAATGTACCAACTTTTTATGACTCAAACTCTGTTCAATTCGTTATTTAATATTGGGTGTATGGTGTTCAAAACTTATCTTAACTTTTTCGTTGCCCGGAATAAAAATTCTGATTCGCAGCAGTATATATTAATATATATTAATATATATTATATTAGTTTATTAATATCAATATATATATTAATATTAATTATCAGGTAAGCAATCTACCTGTGGTGGATCCCGGACCCCGTGCTGTTTGTACGTAAGTGTATGATTTAACTCTAGAGTGTCAAAGACTAAAGTTATACTAAGTTTATCGTTTTTACTTAATTCCACTTACGGTGGATTAATATAATCAATGAATACAAAATCCTAACCCAACTGTACTAAAATCTGATAAATTGAATAAAACACATTTAACCCTTTTTAAATTAGCCATCTATCTTAAAATTAAACTTTTTTTGTTCACATCAAAATATGTTTATTATAAGAAAAGGGCTGAAACAATTTAACAATTTGGAATTTGGAATAACTTAAATTTAAAAAAAAAATACGACGGACATGATAGACACAATAAACAAGGGTGGAGGATTCGAGATGGCGATTAGTGCGAAAATGCAGTTTTGCTAGCCACTGGTCACCTCTGCACGTTCTCCGACCTCTCCCACGGGTTGACGAGTGTCGCTGGCGTGTTCGCTCGAACGCTTGACGACTTTGCCCAGTCGGCTAGTGCGTGATGTCGTGCGCGTATCGACGGTCGACGGCGTGACGATCAAGCCAACGGACGGCAAAGACCAAGACGCGGAACGAGCAAAGTGAGATTTTGTGCTGCGGAACCGGTGTGGACGAGCGAAGCCGCCAATGTGGGATTACCGCGGGGCGAATAGGAGAGAGTCAGCGGACCACAGTGAAGTAATTGGCTGTCGGTAGTTTTCGCCCTGGCGTTGTCCCTTCGGCCGCCGTGCTCCGCCAGACCAGGCAACGGTCAAGTTTCTACGAGTCCGGCGCCGCTGAAGTCCCCGTGTTTCTAGCACGCAAATCTCCGTACCACTCACCCCGTGCCGAGGTCTCCGCGGGTCCGTCGTACCGAATCACTATCGCCATCGTACCAAGTCGGTGTAAATTGTAGGAGAAATCGTTGCTCGAGCAGGTACGTCTACTAGCCACCGTGCCGTCGCCGTCTTCCGTCGCTCCGCGGGACCATAACTGCGGTCGGGCGCTCGTTGAGCGTTAGTAAGTTAAATAAAGATATTATATAATTGTATATTGTATATGTTTATAGCTACTGAACGTCTGAACCCAAATCAATATTGTGTGCAATATATTTTTGAACAAAATTTAACAGAAGTTTTATTATAAAGTTTCTGTATTCGTGTTACAAAGCATTTATTAATACAAACCAAACTTACGTAGTTTATTTATTTAAAATTAATGTTACAGTTTGTATATTATTTTTAAACATTTCTGGGATAACACATTATTCAAATTCTAACTATGTACTAAATTTCTCATTTTACCCAGTTGGTTTAGAGATGTCCATATAATTACATCCACATATATTATGTTCGTTCTTAACGATAAATGACCAACGTAACCCAGTTTGTGTGTGTTCAACATATTTATATTTTTCAGTAAAGGATAACAATTTATGTTTTTTAACCCTACATACCCCGAAACGTTGACCCTATGTTTGTTTAGGTATTTGGGGGTTAAATATCCAGAATAAAAAACCAAACAAACAAATAACTTGTTCGGGTTTTACAGGTTTTTATTGACTTAGCCAGTGTCATAAGAATGTATTACCTCTGCCCAGGGCCGGATTTAAACATTATGGGGCCCAGGGCAAAAATATTTTGGGGCCCTAAATGATCCATAACAAAAATTGCATACCTACCTAAACTTATTTCATGCGTAAAATATATTTATAGACTATAGTTACAACTAAAAATAACTATTTATGTTAAATAAATTGAACAAGTCATACAGTAATATATTATTTATTTTATTAATAAAAAAATATAATCTATGGCTAAAATGTATTTAATTAAATATATATATATTAATAAACTGTACCAAAAATTTGTATTTATATTTTTAATAAAGAAAATAGTCAATTAAAAGTTAAGATTATTATTACAGTCATTAACCTATTATGTTTACATAGAAAATAGAATATTATAAATTGCATACTTTTCTTGATTTCTTTTCTGCAAAGTCATCTGTAATATCATCAAATGACAGATTATCCAACACATCACTTTCAATGCTCATAACTGATAAAAAGTTCAAACGATCTTCATTCATTGTAGTTCGTAATCTATTTTTTATAATTTTCAATCTTGAAAATGTGCGTTCACTACTACAAATGGTGACCATAATTACTAAATACATGCGTGATGCGATTTCAACATTTGGAAAAGCTGATATTACGTCTTTTTCAATTAAAGTTTTGTACATAAAATGCTCATTACTCATTTCTGTTGGCTTGGAATAAAGTTTTATAAATTCAGAAACATGAATTATTTCAACACACATCAATTAGTCTAAGTCGTCATCGTATACAGCTACAAGTTTTTTAGCTGCTTCTTGTAATTCTTCGTTGCTAAGATTATTTAATTGTCCAAAAAATCCAAAACGATCACATATTACTTCATATGCTTTAAGTCTTTGACTTATTGCTGATGACATTTGATCTATAACAGGCAAAAAACATTCTACTTTAAATTTTTCTGAATGATTTAGTTGTGAATCAGGACCTTTGCCATAATCTAAAGGATTCAATCGAATATTAAGTTTACGAGATCGTTTTTTATTATCATTATATTCATTTGATTTTGCCTTTTTTCTCAAACATTGAAAAACCATCGCGTTGAGCATCAATAAAGCACTTTAATGACTTGACAGATGCAACAGCATTATTAAGGTCTAATGTGGGAGCTTGAAGAATTTTATTAGTAGCGTTGAAACGATCCAGATTTTCGTTCCAAAATGCACAATATACACCTGTTTCTAACTTACACATCTTGTTGTATAGTTTGCTTCATCACGTGTTTTTGGTAACTCATTTAAATTATTAGATATACTGTCAAGAGTCGATTTTATTTGAGAATATCCATGAAATAATGCTTTAGTTGCGTCAGATCGACATGACCAGCGAGTGGTAAAAATTCTTTTTGGTATTTGTATTCTGACAGTTTTGTCGGTGGATTGTAAATTTTTTTTTAATTCATCATAACGATGTGTTGATGCAGTAAAAAGTATATATAGCTTCTAAAAAATTAAAAAAAGATATAGCAGATGAACAACATTCAGCAGCAACTTTGCCAACTAAATTTAAGGAATGGACTGCACATGGAACCCATGTTGCTAACTTGTTTACAGCAATTATTTTGCTTTGGAGACATTGTATTTACCACTCATAGCTGACGCGTTGTCATATGATTGACCTCGGCAATTATTTATTTCTATACCATTATTTTCCAAAACTTTCATTATACTATTAAACATATCTTGTGCCTTATGTCCTTGATTAGGTAAAAATTTTAAAAATCTTTCAACGGGTTTAGAGCCTTCCATGAACCGAAATACTACAGTTAGTTGATCGACGTGACCTTCATCAGGTGTAGAATCTAGAGAAATAGAATAATATTTTGATATTTTTATGCGTGTCACTATCGCATTTAGAACTTGATGACCCATACATTGTATTAACTGTTCACAAATATTTGATGACAAATAATTAGTGTGACCACTCCCACAATTCCCTTTTTCTTGAATGTGCTTTTTCAAGAAATCGTCATATTCTGCTAAGAGTTCAAGTAAACCAAGGTAGTTTCCATTACTTTTAGATCCTACTAGTTCATCATCTCCTCTTAAAGCAAATCCACGTTTACATAAAAATTTAATAACACTTATAAGTCTGGTCAAAATTGTTTTCCAATATGATTGGTAGAATGGTCAAAAGATAGGTATGTTTTGACTAAAATAACTGCACATCACCGATCCCCTTAATATCCATTCTCTAATTATTATAATAAATTTATAAAGATAAATTTATATATAAATATTTTCTACTTCGTATAGATTATTAAAATTATTTAATTTTAAATTTATTATAAATATTACTTACTTAAACAATTGAACAGTACAGGCTCATGAGTATTCTTGGCTGATCATAATGAAGTAACGAGATTTAGTCGAAAAGTGGAATGTACAAAATAATAAATAATTCACAATAAAGGCATAAACGCTATAAACAGCGATAAGCCGATAACGATTATAGACGTCTTGAATTTTCCAACATTTTACATTGTGATTTGTGACAGATTACATTATGATTTTTATATATACTCGTATAAACATACACATGTAATTATATAACCCGCAACTTTACTTCACCGTGATAATGCAATAACAACGACTGTAGTATACTACAGTCATTACCCCATAATGTTTAAATCCAGCCCTGTACTGTAGTACAATTTAATTTATATTTTATACCTAATTCATTTTTATTTTCAAAACTATATTTTTTTTTTTAAATATAGTTTGAGAACCCAAAATTTGGGTTCCAAATTGTAATTTTATTTTTTTAATTTTTTAATTTTTTTTTTTTCATTTCTGATTCGAGTCTCGGGGGCCCCTAAAACTTGGGGGCCCGGAACATATGCCCTTAATGCCCCCCGTCAAATCCGGCCCTGCTTAGACGATCGTACTTTTGGCATAACCTATTGGTAATAAGCATGTAAAATATAACGAAAACTGAGGCCACGAAACTCACACTACGATGTCACATTAAAAACTACAGCAGTGTTCACTCGTTCGTGTCCAACGTGTTTAAATATGTGTTAATCGCAATATATTACGATAAGATATCTCATATTTCAAAAATCGTATCTAGAAATAATTGAAAATATAACAGGTTGAGTTCGACGGTCGTTTGTCACCGAGGAACCCTTATTTAGTCAAGTCAAAAATACATCCAGTGGACCTGAACTCTGAAGAGAAGACGCTAAAACAGTAAAATTGTCTAAATATGTGAAAAAAATTGTGAAATATGTAAAAACATGTATTTATGACGAAATATGTAAAATCAAATGTAGCTCATTTTATCAAAATCTTGTGAATCGAATTTATCACTTGCCGAAATTAGTTTATCATGTCGCAGAGAAAATATGTATTTACATATAAATCCGAGCCCTAGTTATTATAGTATTACCGAGGATTTTCTGAGCTCTTGAGCCCAAAATTGTTGGTGGAAATAAACAATCATCTTCTACGTATAAGTAGGTATGCAATATATAGGTAATAAGAAAATAACCATCGTATAATCTATATTTGGATATATAGATACAAGTTCAACGAATGCATTTTCGATGTCATGTGGTGGTACGAATTGCAACCCGAAAAATAGTCTTAACCATATTTCTAACTCGTCGCAGTAAGTATAATAATATGCTGTTCTAAGTTGCTGCTCCGAATTTATCTGTAAAGTTAGGTAATACATTTAATATTATAATTTTACTATGTGTATATTTATAATATATTTTAAGCATAATCTTCAATGATTTTTTCATAATTTAAATGTTCTCGGGCTCTTTTTATAAAGAAAAGCCAGGAAGACGCTCTTGGGACGTGATACTTCTCAAATAAGTTTCTATAAGTTCTAACTTCTGCGCTAGCTGAAGTTATTAGAATAGCTAACATATTATTTATTCTAAGAGCCGCGGCTGAGTTTGGAAAAGCTGAATTGCTTTTTTTTTTATAAAATTAAGTAGGTACTTCAATAGGAGTTACCGATTTATCGAATAAGTTTTGGCAAATCAAAATTCCTTTTTTTTTGTGAGTTGTATGCGTTTTATCTATATTACGCGTGCGTCTGAGAGAGAAAACACAAATTGCGCTGACATCGTCTCTTATAGTTAGTCTTTCGAGAATTTGCAACTACAAGTATTTAATTAGGGGCCTCAAATTTGTCCATTACTTTTTAATTATAGGCTATAACACTACATAAATCACATAAAAAAATCGATGATTATTTAGCGAGGAAAAAAGCTTGTAAATTATAATTTACTAGCTGATCCAGGGCACTCCGTTGCTCGTTAAATGTACCAACTCTTTATGACTCAAACTCTGTTCAATTCGTTATTTAATATTGGGTGTATGGTGTTCAAAGCTTATCTTAACTTTTTCGTTGCCCAGAATAAAAATTCTGATTCGCAGCAGTATATTAATATATATTAATATATATTATATTAGTATATTAATTATCAGGTAAGCAATCTACCTGTATGGTGGATCCCGGACCCCGTGCTGTTTGTACGTAAGTGTATGATTTAACTCTAGAGTGTCAAAGACTAAAGTTATACTAAGTTTATCGTTTTTACTTAATTCCACTTACGGTGGATTAATATAATCTTTTTTTTTGAAACATACTTATTTCAACATGTTAAGAACGGTGGTCCAAACAAAATGTTTCAGAAATCATTATTTTGGAAGTTATATAGCGATTCGTTTGTATACGCACGCGTACAACACTGTACTTTGGATGAAAACTATTTATAGTCAAAATTTGACATTCAGGCTTAGTTTTAAATAGTTATAGGCTATAATAGGCTATATAGGCTATAACTTATAGCTAATTGAAATTAATAGTATTTTCATATACTGCAACCGTAGCTTTCTCGGACAATAAAAATCGAAAACATCCCTCAACTTGTTATGTGAACAACTATACCTACGCATTGATATACCTATAATACGTATTTGTAATCAAATACGATATTTTTTAACCATAAATTATTTTTTACCGTAATGAATATATAATTAAAATCGAAATAGTGAAAACTCTAAATACCGGACACTCTATATTCAAAGGGTTCAGTTCGAAGGAAGCTTGTAGTCGGTTCCTAAGAAAACGTCAGCTATTTGGAGGTGTCCGCTATTTAGAGGTTCCGTTAGAACAGGTTTCACTGTATTTTTTAGTCATAAGTTTATTTGTATTACCTATAAATTTAATGCTATATTTTTGTACTTGCGATATGCCACTACTGCCACGGCATTATAATATTATTATTTATTATAATATATGCACTCGTTCTTTATATAGAAATGTAATTAATTATTTTTGTTTCACAGGTGAATCTATAGGTAGTCTACTGGGCGGATATTTACTATCGATACATATGGTGGAGTGTGGTCGTTTCGATTTTTCTCCTATATGTCTGTTCTGATGTGCTTTCTGAGCATAGTAACCAATTATTTTGGATTGACAAGGGAATCTATTACCTCAAAAGACCACGCAGAATCGACGAATATGGATCTCAAAATTACCAATAATAATACTGACAAAAAAACGTGATATTTTATTTATGAAAACTGTAGTGGACATATTTGATAAAAATGTCATATTTAATTATAACTAAATTTAATGTTTATACGAGCTGAGTAGCGCATGTGACATACGGGTACACAGCAGAATGTTGGAATACTGCTCTCCGCTCTTTAAATTTGAATACTTATCAATATTATAAAACTATATGTATTCGATTTAATGATTTATATAGCTATATGCGTTGAAAAATTTGATTTTCGAGCTACAAAACATTCGGAAAAATATTTTTGAAATATTTCCGCTGCATAGGAATATTAATTAAATTGTATGTCAAAGTGTATAACTTATATTTGAGTACAGATAGGGTACGTCATGTCGAATTTCTGTATCCACTGATAGCTTTATCATACTATTATCGATACTCATACATTGTGTAGATTTTAGTGCATGACACTTACATCAATAGTTTTCCGAACTCTTCAAAATATGACGTGTAAGAACTATATGATCTGGTCGTGTATTGTGCAGTCTA